AGTTAAAAAAGAACTTGCTGTGATCCGAGAGGAAGGAAGTATGAAGGATCGAGGACAGTATATGCTGACAAACATGGCCATGGAAACATAAGTGGTAACCTTGACATAATCAACACAAAAGAGCCACCAAGTAAGGGAGCATCTGTCTTTTAGCATGTTAAAACACTTTATACATCCAAAAAGGCGCATTATTGGTGACATTTGTGCAAAATTCCAGGAGGTTTATTATATTTTTTAGTATTCCATTTATAAAGGTTGTTGCTAAACCTTTACGGTCCACAGCATTAGGGTAGATTCAAACCTTTTCAAACCTTAAACTCCAATATATTTATTTTTCATTGCACAAGTTAAGCATTTGGTTAACTCCACTTTGAATGAATGTGTGTCTCGCTGTAGACAGTAACAACATATCTGTACACAGTTCTGCTTCAGATGAAAATGTTAACCATACAGAGAAGTGATGGAAGATAAGGTTGCCTTCTGAACAGTTTTGTTTAGTAAACTTGTTAAAAAATAAATACATTCATTAAAAGACGTCTCATATGCTCATGAGGGCTGCATTTATTTAAACAAAAATGCAGTAAAAATTTTAATTTTTGTGAAATATTATTACCGTTTTAACTGTTTTTTTTTATTTTAAAATAAAAAGCTGAATAAAATAAAAGAATAATAAAAGCTGAATTTTCAGCATCATTACTCCAGTCTTCAGTGTCACACGATCTTTCAGAAATCATTCTAATATGTTGATTTGCTGCTCAAGAAACATTTCTGATTATTATTAATGTTGAAAACAGTCGTGCTGCACAATATTATTTGTGGAAACCGTTATACATTTTATTTTTCAGGATTCTATGATGAATAGAAAGTTCAAAAGAACAGCATTTATCCGAAATAGATTTTTTTGTAACATTATAAAGTCAATTTAATCAATCAATGATTGATTGAATATTATTGCTGAATAAAATAATTAATTTATTTTTAAAAAATCTACAATTATCAGACAATGTAAAAGATGGGAAATATGCTTCTGATTTCTCATTGATACATTACAAACGCTCTTCTATCAGTAATCAACATTTCTTCTAATAGCTTTTCCTATAGCAGGCACAGAAATGATTAGTATCAACAGACAAAAAAAAAGGGTCCTTTCAAATATGACATAAAAAAGTCAGATCGCTGATTAAAGCGATTACAGAACAGATACTTTTTTGTGTCTAGTCACCATGTGCCAAAGGTTGTTCTTCTTTCTATCTGAGAATCCTGCATCATGTGACAGAAGCCAACAAAGGGTGAATTCAGCCGGATGCCTGTCAGACAATCTCAGTCCATGATGTAATAGAGCGCAAAACTGACCACTTTTCAGTGGCCTTGGTTCCATAAGTGTTTTCCCATTCATTTTCTCCATGCGGATTTAATAACACATCCTTAAATAAGAGTCTCGAGAGACTGGAGAGCTTCATGGGAGCAGACAATCACTGTTACAGTATGCTCTTTTGCCGAAGTTCAATTCCAACTTGATTGAAAAGTTTGTAGACAAACTTTAAGTTGGCTTCAAAAAGCCTAGCTAGAAAGTTTGAAAAAAAGTGTTAAAAGCTTGCAGTCTCAAAGTTTTCAGTTTGAAAGTTAAAATAATTTTAAAGATTAAAGTTTGAATGTTTTCAAGGCAATACAGTCTATCAGAAAAACATTGCTAGGGTACCTGGGGTGGTTGCTAGGCTGTTTCTAGCAAAACATTGCTGGGGTGGTTGCTAGGCTGTTTCTAGCATGACTAGCATGTTGCTAACATGTTTTAGCATGATTAGCATGTTGTTAGCATGTTGTTAGCGCAATTAGCATGTTACTAGCATGTTTCTAACATGATTAGCATGTTACTAGCATGTTGTTAGCGTTGTTAGCAAGTTACTAGCATGTTTCTAACATGATTAGCATGTTACTAGCATGTTGTTAGCATGATTAGCATGTTACTAGCATGGTGTTAGCATTTTGTTAGCATGATTAGCAAGTTACTAGCATGTTTCTAGCATGATTAGGATGTTACTAGCATTTTGTTACCATAATTAGCAAGTTACTAACATGTTGCTAGCATGATTCTAGCATGATTAGCATGTTACTAGAATGGTGTTAACATTTTGTTAGCATGATTAGCGAGTTACTAACATGTTTCTAGCATGATTAGAATGTTACTAGCATGTTGTTAGTATGAATAACAAGTTACTAGCATGTTGTTAACATGATTAGCAAGTTACTAGCATGATTCTCGCATGATTAGCATGTTACTAGCATGGATGCTAGCATTTATATATATATATATATATATATATACTGTATATATATATATATTAGATAATGTATCTCTTTTTTCTTTAAAAAGAATTGCATGTTTGGCATTCTAAAGGTTTAGGATTCATTTTTCTTGGATATTGCATATTATATCTGTTTTCAAATAATGTTTGTTCCTGTCACGATCACCAGCTGGAGTGCCCTTGATGGCCACCAGAGGGCACTCCATTCCATACCTTTGCCACTCAGTCCTGGACTGCATTTCCCAGAAACCATTGCCTGGACTCATCATGCTGATTGTTTTCACCTGTTGCTCATTACCTCTGCCTATATAAGCCCTGTGTTTTCTGTGTCTCATCGTGTAGTCTTGCCATTTGTTACTCTGCAATTCTGAGCTTTCTCCCTGGTTTTATGGCTCTTGGATCACCCATTTGCCTGATTTTCCTGCCTTGTTGCTTGTTTGGGTTGCTTGCCTGTGTTTTGACCTGTTGCCTGTATGTTGGATTACTTTCTGAATTGTCCCGATAAAACCTGCGTTTGGATCTCCAACCTTTCAAGTCTCAGATCAGTACGTAACAATTCCTTCATATAAAGTCAAAGAGCTTGGAGTCCACACTCTTAATTAATGAGGAAGGAACAACCGGGGCTAGGACATCATACACTGATCTTGATTGATTGATTTCTCAATGCTTTTAAAAATTGGACAAAAGGTTTGACTGGCATGTTCAACTGTATCAAATGCCTTAAAGTAATTTATAAATAAAACTTTCTTCTGGTGCTTTCTGTATGGTGTCTGCGTGGGTTTCCCCCACAGTCCAAATATTGTAGAATCCATTCAGGGTTTAGGACCTAACGTGATTCCTACAGAAGGGGCCCCGAGTCAATATGCTGTTCAGGGGGCCCAGAAACCATAGCTGCGTCCCTGAATCCACTTGTCTGTCCATCCTTAACAGGGGATTTGTTCTATTTTAATTTAGCAAAATTTAATCCCATTTAAAGCTATTACATAAGTTTTGGAATTTAATGTTCTTTAGCTGATTTTATAAAGCTAGCAGTTTCTGTAAGAGGGCAGGTGTGACTGGTATACAGGTTCCCACACTCTCAGAAAAAAAGGTACAAAAGTTGTCACTGGGGCGGTACCTTTATAAAAGGCACACCTTTGTACCTAAAGAGTCCATATTGGTACCTTAAAGATACATATTAGTACCTAAAAGCTACAAAAGTGTACCTTTTGAAAAGGTTCCGCCCCAGTGACAGCTTTTGTACCTTTTTTTCTGAGTGCACGGAAGGGTCTTTATAGCAGAAGAATAAAGCTAGCAGTTTCTGTAAGAGGGCAGGTGTGACTGGTATACAGGTTCCCACACTCTCAGAAAAAAAGGTACAAAAGTTGTCACTGGGGCGGTACCTTTATAAAAGGCACACCTTTGTACCTAAAGAGTCCATATTGGTACCTTAAAGATACATATTAGTACCTAAAAGCTACAAAAGTGTACCTTTTGAAAAGGTTCCGCCCCAGTGACAGCTTTTGTACCTTTTTTTCTGAGAGTGTATAATACAATGTATATATAAAATAAAATTATTTAATATTTTCATTGATTTCCCCATCTATTTTAAGTTTGACAACAGAACTACGTTCATATCTTTTTCTAATTTATAATAATAATAACGTTTTATTTATATTAGCTTCCAAGAACCCAATGATGCTTTACATAAAGTTGATAACATGAACACAAATATATAGTCACATCAAGCAGACAGAGATCATATTATATACAAGTTAAATACTTTATGGAAGTATATAGTTTTCTTCCCTCCAACCATTTCCTTCTTTCATTATCATTCCTCACAAAGGTCTCTCTTGTAGTATATACAACATGCAATTTCCTTATCATTTTTATAGTTATCCATAGCAATTTTCTAGATGGGCTTTACTCCAGAATCTAATTATTCGATGCCAAGTACTTGGTAACACTTTATTTTAAGAACCAATTCTCACTATTAACTAGTTGTTTAATAGCATGCATTTTGGCCGTTTATTAGAACTTTTTAGTACTTTACTCTCTCTTTTTTTTAAATGAAGCACACTGACAGCAGCTGGTAAATTAGTTTCAGACACTTTAAGCTTAAAAATCTTAAAAAACACGTGCAAATGATAAACTTTCACGTGCCCACTGTAGGCACTCTCAGCAGTGAACAGGGTCTGCAGTAACTCTATACACAGCAAACTGTGAGGCTCTGTGTTTCTGTCACGGCCAGCATTGTTTTTCAGTTTCAGCTACAGTAGCTCTTCTGTGTGATCCGAACAGCTTTTGCTCCCATTACCTTGAGATACTTTAATAATAAAGTTAATATCAATTATTTAAATTATGTCCATCCATAAATATCGTGCCTGTAGTGACTAGTATGCTTAGATCATATATTACCACCATAAACTTGTATACAACACATTTGACAAAAAGAAAAAAAAAAGCTACTGTGTATGTTTAACGTCATTCTTTATTGCAGTACTTTTATCAATAGCTGACACACACAGGTTCAACACTGCATCGGTTCCATGAACAGGGTACAGAACCAGACTTCAATCTCTTGCAAAATGTTTCCTTTTTCAACAAAGATTCATCAAAACGGAGTGCTTCACCTTCAAAGAAACCTCAAGATGTCAAAAGACATATATTATACTTTTTTCTTTCTATCTATCTTTTTTTTTTTTTTTTAAATCGCAATATTTAGAGAGCTGGCTGGAGTAGAGATATTCAGTGTTTTCAAAAGTAAATGCTTCTCGTGTGGTCATTTTATGTTAGATAACAGTTTTTAACTGAATAGTTCCTATTGCATAGAACGAATTTGATTCCTTTACAAAAAGTAATGGGATACTAATTTGTACCCTATTTGTGGAAAGTTCTCATTAATATTCACAAACCTTTGGCCCATGATTTCTGCACGGTATACAATTCATACTGTTACAACACCCAAATCATTTTAAATGTGTGCCACAGAATGTAAAGTTTTGCTTTTTACTTATGATGCCAGGTTTTCTAGAATAAAAAAACAAATCAAGCCAATAAGGCCCATAGACAATATGATGTTACTTAACAGATCCTCATGCACTTTTTATAGTTTTTACAGTGTAATTGTTAAAAAAAAAAAAAGCCAAACTTATAGTTCTATCCCCATACTCAACAATTAGCAGGTTTGATGAGCCATGTGTTGAAATGCAACTTGTCAAACTCAGTTTCTGAAAAGCTTCCGTCTTGCATGAACTGTACAAAGAATTGCACTAAAAAAGGTTTTATGGATCATTTTAATTTCTAACAAATTCTGATCGTGACAGCATGTGATCTTTCAAAACAGAGAAGATTTCGCCTAGAAGACGATATTATCCTAAGTAAACAAAAGTCTAATTTCCTTTGATCATAAATTCAGTGAGATACAGTAACACCACAAAGTTTTATGAGTTGAACAGCCATTATGTCTGAACAATGACCTACATGTAAAATAATGAACCCATCTACAGCTACATTTCACCGAAACGAAACTGAACTGATTAAACCATATCATTGGACCCAAACACCCACTACAATATCTATAATTTTCCACCAGACAGACATTATAAGCACGTTCAGCTGAAATCATCATCACTGTAGAACATGCAGACTTATTATAAAGACTTAGGCACACCTCTGCCCATATACATTCATGTCAATATCAATATTTAAGTCTAAATACTATTGATCAGTCAGGTCCAGCTTCTTTGATTTCCATTACTCCCAGATGCTTTGCCATATTTTGTAATGACCTAAATGAGCACAAGTCCCATTATATGAACCTATAACTTCATAACTAGAGGTAATGAATGGAAATTCAACCCCGAAAGGTTCACCTGTCCAGACTAATTCAATTCTACGTGATTACTGTAATACTTAAAAAGTAGTGTTTGATCAGAATTCTGGCCATTTCATCTCGCAGGGCCATAAAGAGTAAAGTTGAACAGATCCACAGTGCAAGCTGGTGTGAACAACAACACTTAGCACTAGATCTGACAGGCACTGGTGAATGCAAACTGTCTCTTGAATTTCAGTATCCAAAAACTCAAAGAGCACTCTCCGGCTGGCCAATGTCCGTGGTGATGTTGATGAAGAGTGGTGCTCTGTGGACAGACAGAATCTTGTAGGAACAGGAGTTCAAGCCATCAGTTTTCCACGCCTGATGAGTGCGGCGTAACAGATGCATCCTGTGTCGAAAGCAAAGCATTAAATACCACACTGAAAATACGCATCTCTCTTGGAATCATTTACATTTTAAGTATAGCATTATCATATTCTTGAGTTTTTAAGGAGTCGTGCATTCTACAATATCTCCACTTATAATTATGAAACAATTATGCCCACTGTTATGACTGAGTAACATCTTTGCATTTATACTTATACACATTGCACATGAGGAACTTTTAAAAAAAAGTCTGGATGATGACAAACTAGAAGAAAATGAACCCCTGAAACACTAAACTACATTTTTTGACAGGTGCTTGTGTTGCACATTTATAGAATATGTTAGTATCTGTCAATTTTAAACGGATTAAATTTGAGCTTCCTGATTTAAAATCTTCATTGCGTCAATGTCACAGAACGCAGCGTTTTCTCACACCGATGACTCCTGTTTCTCCTAATTATTCATAATGCTGCATGTACTCATTCTATAAGAACACACTTCTCTTAATTATTCATGACAGCATGTGTTAATTTCCTGTGACAGACACTTCGAAATGCGAGATCACGTACAGTACGTGAGAGACGTGCTCATAGATCACGAGTGAGCGTTTATTTTTTTTTTTTGCATAACAATTTCTCAACTACACACCACTGAGGCTCTGACACAAACGTGATTTTTTTTAATGCATATTTTTGATGCGGAGTACAAATGCAAACGGCTGTGCATTTATTTCTGTTCAATACAGTTTTTCTCAATCGCTTTGGCTCAATTCTCAAATTAGTTTTTTTCTCAAAACAGTAATTTCAGATGTCTGAACAATCAGTTTCTTATTGATTTAAACAGATTGCATGCAAAAGAGTACGTACAATTGTCTACAATTTGCACACCAACTAAATGCACATGGCTTGTTGATCAAAACTGATGAGTTGATTCTCACAATAACTACAGTGGGTTTTGAAGCATGAATTAAATGTTTTGGGTGAGTTACTAAATTTTGCAGACATGCAATTCTGTCTGCAAAATGTAGTAACTCATGGATAAGCATTTGTGTATTCGTGTAATGTATGGTGAGCTTATAAAACCATGCATAATATGTTAATTTATGATGCGTGCAGTGGTGAATTGCAGCGTGCATTTGTGGGAGCTTCTGATGCTTTTAACTCAATCTGGTGGTATAGGAGCAGTAGTGTCACAACTTGATTACGTGTTGTGACATTATTGTCACAGTAGGGTCCAATCATGCACAATGACTGGTTTAGAAAATAATCCACACGCTGAACAAACAATGCTCTACTGATGCAATTAGACACATAACCTTCAGCCACTATTTCCTAACATTCAGACGATAATGAAAGAGATTTCACAATCTCAGTCATCACCCACATACCAGCTGTCAAAGCAGCGATGGTGGAGAAGTAGTCTGATCTGTCACTGTGGATCTAGATTTATTCAACCATGTGATGTCATGTTGTCCAAGCAGATAAATGTTTTTGTTTTTTTTTACCTTAGTCTCAATAAATGCTCTTTTTGTACTAAGGAGGGCAGGTGGGAAAAGGTCATAAATCACTCAAATTGGAATATTTCTCATCCCAAAAACGTTAGTAATATTATAATTACACCTCAGGGAACATAATAAAATAAAAAAATAAAAAACATGTCATGACCCCTTTAAGGATCAATTCAACTATTAACTATGACTTTTGCCTCCTAATTTGCTGTTTATTAATAATTAATAAGGTAGTTGTTAAGTTTAAGTATGGGGTGGATTAAGGAATCTAAAATATGGTCCTGCAGAATAAGACATTAATATGTGCTTTATATGTATTAATAAACAGCCATTATGCTAATAACATGACTAGTGTTTCAATGTAAAGGATTTCCCTATGTCCGAAATATCACTTTTCTGCTTCTTTTGTAATATTACTTCTTTACACTTAGGAATTCTTCTAGGAAGTGATGGGAGTATTTGGTGGGAAAACAACAAATTGTGAAGTTAAAAAAATTGAAAATGAAGTAAGGTGGCACTGTCATATAAGCTAACTCCTAAACCTTTATGAGAAATTATAACTTTAGGTATAAAATCTAGGTAACCTATGTAAATAATTTAGTTATCATTGATACAGTGACTGAGTGACCCCACAATGTCCTATGGTTATGAAAAACAAACTGACTGGCATCAGAGTTAAAAATTAAAACCTAAAAAAAAAAAAAGTAAAATTACTAAGCATAGGAGCCTGATAGAAATGCTAATTTCAGATGGCACTTAGAGGCTTTTGCATCAGAACTCTTCATTAATATATTAGCATGATGATATTACTATGTAAGCTCATTAGATGTAATTCAACAATGCATGCTGTCAGAAATTGTTCCTCACTTTAGTTATGATCTCTTGGAAGACCAGAATAGCACTCTAATACTCGTTCACACTTTAACTGACCTTTCTTCATTGATTTGATTGCCGCTGTCCCGATTGTGAAAGACCATGGTGTAGCGCGCCACTTCCAGGGATGGACGGATTATTGACATTTTCTGCAGCGTCACCCTGAAAAAGACGGTTCTGTTACAATCCTTAACAATGAGAAGAAGAAAGAAATGTTCAGACATGATTGGTACCACATGCAGAAACTGAAATTCCCCTTCACTTAAAGGTGACATATCATGAAAATCTGACTTTTCCAAGTTTTAAGTGCTATAATCAGGTCCCCGGTGCATCTACCAACCAAGGAAACGTGAAAAAGATTAACCCAGTAACTTCGTTTTGGGAAGCCTTTTTCTGCAAGCGTCTGAGAAAACGAGCGCGTCAGATTTCACTCCCTTGGCAAAGGGATCTCATTATAATATTGCCACCCCTTAATCTGTAAATGTAATACACCCACAGCGCCGTCATTGTGTTTTCGCAAGCGACAACGGTGTACCAGCTCTAATGCCATGCCGAAAGTTTGAGCAAAACATGCTAACTGTGCTGACAAGCACAGAACACTGTTTAGAGTCCCAGCCTCAGACGAGACAACAGAGCGGTGGATTTATTGATTTATTTACTGTATATTGCTGCTGCCACACAGATCTAAAATAAACATGCGATTTATTTCTCAGCTGTTTACCTTCACAGACATAACCCACTGTTTTTGTAACTCATGTGTGTTTTTAACGTAAACTGTGTGTGTGAATGAGAACTTAGTTTAGTACTCACATGCTGTGACAGCCGCTTTCTGTCCGTGTGCTCTCAGAAAACCGTATATCAGAAGTTTAAAAGTTTTATGGTTTAAAACGCATGATTTCAGCACGATAAACATGATAATCAGAACCAAAACAGATGTTTCTTAGCAGGTCCGAGCTGTAATGGCACAGCTCTATTCTGGAAAAGGGGGCGGGGAGCAGCAGCTCATTTGCATTTAAAGACACAGGCCCGAAAAACAGCGTGTTACTGCTTCCACTCAAAATAGGCATTTTCAAAATTATATAATAAATGATCTGTGGGGTATTTTGAGCTGAAACTTCACAGACACATTTTGGGGACACCAGAGACTTATACTACATATTGTAAAAAGGGGCATAATATATCTCCTTTAAACACACATTCCCCTTTATGCGAAGAATAAATCGGCTTTGCATTTCTACATCTTTTTTTTTTGATGTTTTAAAGGTTAAAAAACAGACAAAAAACATGATTTGCTTAGCTATTTTGTGAAGTCACCTATGAGTGCCTTTGCACATCCTAAGCCACATCGTCCCGAGTTTCTCTCACCTTATTCTCAGGTCATCGTCCTCTCCACCCCAGCCCCAGTAGGAGTTTGGGAAGCCATTGACCTTGTGGAACTGCTCCTTCGTCATGGCCGAAACTCCCCCAAAGTAACCCTTGTATCGGAGTCTGGGAAGTCACGGGCAGAAGAAGGTGATGAATGTCTTTCACATATTAAAAAACAACTATAGTATAACATTTTGCAAATAATTCAATGATGCGATTAAGAAATTACTTGGGGTACGTCATATTCAGTGTAGCTGAATACCAGTGGAGAATGTAGAAGCTACTGTAAAACTGTAGAAGGTTTTAAAGAAGTTTATATACTGCATTTTGCAAAACATACATGACAAAAACTGTTAGACGTGTGAGAAGAGCATCTTCAAAATGCTTGATGCCATAAATCGAAAACAAACAAAAAATATATTCACAAATACAATGTGTGTGAATTGATTCATTTTATTTGTTACTGCTTTAATTTGATAATTTAACTGAATCGAAGCAGCTTGTAATGGCATAAATCTGTATCAAATTACTTTGGATGTAAAATACTTTAAAACCTGACTACACTGGCAAAAGACTACAATGTGAAATTTTTGACAATGACAATTTATATAGCACAAATAATTACAACTTCCATTGACCAATGTGCTTTCCAGCAAGTCATCAAAACAAAAAAAAACAAAAAAAACTCACTAATAAGCAAACAGAAAAATTTTAAAATCATACAAGTATCACATCAGCCATACGCCTTAAAGAATAAAAAAGTCTTTAGCATGGACTTAAAAATACTAAGAAAGAAGCTTGTCTAATGAATAGTGGCAAGGCATTCCAAAGCCTGGGGGCAGCAACACAGAAAGCATAATCTCCCCTACATTTAAGCCTCGACTTAGGAGTAAACAATAGATCCTGGTTGGAAGACCGAAGGGATCTAGTGGGTTGATGCTCAGTCAATAACTCACAGAGATAAGTAGGGGCCAATATATATCTTTGGCAAATAAGCATCCCCAAAGTTCTACAATGCATCTGAGGACTCAATGTATTTTTTTTTGTCAGTTTTCTTTTCATTGAATATTAAAAAGCTTAGTGAAAGCCAAGCCTTCACATCCGTCAAACATGCCATGAGAGACTTGAGACCCACAGAATTTTGTTTGACAGGCAAATAAACCTGGGTGTCATCCACATAATAGTGAAATGACATATCATGTTTTCTAAAAATCGAGCCAAGAGGAAGCATGTAGAGAGAAAAGAGCAAAGGAGCCAAAATAGAACCCTGGGGAACCCCACAGGGCAAAAATGCATTACTTTAGTAATGTTCACCCATCTTGACTGAAAAACTCCCATTTGTAAAATACGATTTGAACCAATCTAAAGCTACACTTCTTAAACCAACGCAATGTTCTAAACGATCAATGAGAACAGTATGATCGACTCTATCGAAAGTGGCCGTCATGTCTAAGAGCACAAGAACTGCAAAATCACCCGAATCACATGATATTAAAATATCATTAAGAACCTTCAGAAGCGCAGTCTCAGTAGAATGACATTTACGAAAACCTTTACGAAAAGTAAAGAAAATAAAACATTTACGAAAAGCCATAAAATCCATCAAAGGAGAAGGTAATATTTCATAATTGATCTGAAAAATCATTCATTCATGACCTACACTTGTCTATTTTCTTTTTAACCTGGTCGCTTGCAAGAGCTGTGAAAGAGGCTGCACAAGAGATTCAACGCCTTGTTTATTTTTACTTGTTGGGCAAAATGAAAGTTTTCAGAGGTGTAATGATACTTTTAAACTACTATACATATTACTGGATATAATGTTTATTAAGGTGAATATTTGCTAGTCCTAATCATGCCTGATTTCAACAGTAGATTTGCTTTCTATTTGTTTTAATAAAGTACAAGCTGCGACTGTGCCAGACGTTACTCCACGCAGAGAACATATCACATCAATGAATATTGTAATTTATTTAACCAATATAATCAACTAAACTCTAAAATCAAACTAAACCATATAGTATTCAGGTACGGAAATATACAGAAATTGAATAAACTTTAAATTAAAAACAGATAAATCCTTAAAATGTTTAGTCAAGAGCAGTGATGGATTTTTAATTTTTTTTGTCTTTTGTTGTTTGATTAACATTAATGACAGACGGCACAGCTTTATTAGGCTGCTGTCCCTTTAAGACCGACTGCATTAATCTAATATACTGATACACAATGGTTTTCTTTCTCAACAACTGCTCACATTCAGACAAAACTGACTATGTTTATGAGGATACTAGCCAAGATGGGCATTTTTACTATTTTTTTATTATTTGGCCGCTTAAGCGCAATAAGCTGCAAAAACTAACTCAATTTGGTACTCGTGAGGTTTGTGAGGCGGCTTTATGTGCGCGTGCTTTGGATGTGATTGTGAGCACGCAGAAAACCGTTGTGGAGCACTCGACTACCGAATGGTTTAAAAAGACTTAAAAAGATGTGCAAATGATAGTTTTGTGACGATGCACCAGTGACCCGATTAGGCAACTGACAGTTCTGTCAACTGGCCTGAAACCAGAGCAACAGCTCTTTTGTAGTGCAGGCGAGATGCGCTGATGTGAAGCCGTTTTGGGAGGGAGACAGAGAGAAGACTATGCACCGCTGAACAAAACAACACAAAAAAAGCTACAAATACTGCCACCATTTTTTTTTTAAAGTTGCAGCAATTGCAGACATTTTGGTTCCAAAAATCTGAAAAATGTCCACTGAAATGTTTTTGTGAAGAAACGTGCCAAAGACCTTTGCATAGTATTGTAGATAAAAACCTGTCTCATGTGTACAGAACTAAACGGAACAACTATTGCTACTGCAGAGATGTCACTCTTTTGGACATTGACAGCTCATAACACTAGTCTGTCTCTCTGTGTAGTGGTTTGTTATTTAAAATGCAAAACATCTAAACCACGAATCACACTACTGAAAAATGTAGATAAACTAGTAGTGTCACTGCTTTGAGCTACTCCTGACACTTCTGTTGCTTTAGTATTTTAGAGAGAAACAGTCCTGCTAATCGATCTCAGTGTTGTCCGTCTAACCCAGATCTTGCGTGTCTAAATGTCAAGAACGCTCTGCATGGGAATGTGTTTGTTAAATGAAGGAGACAGCATCACTCACTTGTACCCAGTGGAATTCCTCCCCACTACTAAGTGCTTAGGCTGATCCTCACACATGTATAAATTATAATCGTTCTCAGGAACTAGATCAACATCATGGAAGATGAAACAGTCCCAGCTCTGGTCTTTCAGAGCCTCGAGGTAGCCCACATTTAATAACTTTGCCCTGTTAAATGTAGCATCTCCAGCCTACAAGACAAACAGACACATATATTATACACACATCGTTTTTCAATGCTTGCGGATCGTGATTTCCTATAGATCACCAGGTGTTTGCCAATACTCTCCTTTCATGACTTAAAAAATACAAAAAGTCTAAGAAATTATTTGAATGAATTACTTCTTTAGGTGTATACTGCCTCAACAGTTTTTACTGACAGAACTTAAACACTACAACACTCTTTCATGACACGAGAAGAAAAGCATGCACACCTTTCTTTACTCAGAGTTTCAGCGTCTATCATTTTTACTTTACCTAACCACTCAAAATGAAAACTGTACAACTTAAAATATTCATATCACCAACATCAGCTGGTGGCACTTATCTCTACCGTTGTTAAAGATGTCATAGGAAAAAAACACTAAACTGCAAAAACAGAAAACTGCCCACAATTAATGCCCACAGGAGTCAGAAACTTGGCTTTCTCAGTCACTGTAATAATGAGAAGGAAGTAACACACTATTGTTGAAGACAACAATAGTTTCATTCAAGTTTTGTGTATATGAACAAAAAAGAGTCTTTCCAAATGGACTCAATGTTAGGAAAGAGAGTTTAAGGTCACACTTTATTTTAAGGTCCAATTCTCGCTATTAACAAACCATTAACTACGACTTTTGCCTCAATAAACTCCTAATTTGCTGCTTATTAATAGTAAGGTAGTTGTTAAGTTTAGGCATTGGGTAGGATTAGGGATGTAGAATATGATCATGCAGAATATGTGCTTTATAAGTACTAATAAACAGCCAATATGTTAATAATCTGCATGCTAATAAGCAACTAGTTAATGGTGAGAATTGGTCCCTATACTAAATTGTTACCAAGTTAAATATTTGCAATCATATGTGACCCTGCAGCACAAAAGCAGTGTTAAGTCGCTGGGGTATATTTGTAGCAATAGCCAACAATACATTGTATGTGTCAAAATTATACATTTTTCTTTTATGCCAAAAATCATGAGGATATTAAGTAAAGATCATGTTCCATGAAAATATTTTGTAAATTTCCTACCGTAAATATATCAAAACTTAATTTTTGATTAGTAATATGCATTGCTAAGAACTTCATTTGAACAACTTTAAAGATGATTTTCTCAATATTTTGATTTTTTTGCACCCTCAGATTCCAGATTTTCAAATAGTTGTATCTCAGCCAAATATTGTCCGATCCTAACAAACCATACATCAATGGAAATCTTATTTATTCAGCTTTCAGATGGTGCATAAATCTCAATTTCGAAAACTTGACCCTTATGACTGGTTTTGTGCTCCAGGGTCACATTTCAGGTTGGTCTTACTAGTTTTTGCAGAATAGACTGTTCGGTGAACGAGTAACAATGTATCGCAGGCTTTGCAAACATGCTGTTGTTTAAGGATGGGGCAGTGCAAACTATAATGGACCCCGGAGCAAAGCCGTAAGTAAACATTGTTATGCATTGAAGAGGGCGTCAATGCTATAGAACCAATAAAGGTCCCTTTTAACATCAGAGAAAGTAGGATATGCTCATAAAAAAAAAGAACATTATGTTTGTTGTCCAAGAAACCTTTACTGACTTAAAAATGAACACTGAACGCTCTAAAAATGGCATCAAATTCTAGCAACGAGGATCCTGTGTCTACAGAATCTACCTGGTGAATGATGTAGATGGCGTAGTGAAGCTGCTGCCTCTGTAAGAATGGGTGGAGGTGGTGGAGGAGGTAGAGCAGGTGCTTCTCTCTGTTTCTGTGAGGGATAAGGATGGCCACGCTCTGTCTGGCCTCACAGTCAGAGGGGTTATACTGACCCTCCACCACCTCCCCGTTTTCACTCTCTACCTGCTCTATCGTCAGCGAGGGATCAAATGACAGCTTGATAGCGCCTCCTGTGGAGAAGAACAATCAGAAATCAATAAACACACATGGACACAGGCCCACAAGTAAGTGAAAGGCCCACGGACCAGGTGCAGCCCTTCAATACAGCACCAGCTGGGGCCCACATTAATTACAGGGCCCCATCTTTGGAAACGAGCCCGAATTAGCAAGCAGCTGTGGAAGGAAAAAACAGTGATGTGTAAACATTGACAGTCACACAGAGGTGGTTCCCACATCTTTCTCTGCGCTGCAGCTCCATGGTTCAGATCTTTATCCAGTATTATCAGCTCAAAGGTTTAAAAGTTATTGATATGTTTAAAAGTAAAAAAAATAGTGTGACTTTCACCCAAATTTAAACCTATTGTATGAAATGCTATATGTGACCCTGAAGCACAAAACCAGTATTTGTAGCAATAGCCAACAATACACCGTGGGTCAAAATTATCGATTTTTCTTTTATGCCAAAAATCATTAGGATATTAAGTAAAGATCATGTTCCATGAAGATATTTCGTAAATTTCCTACCGTAAATATATCAAAACTTAATTTTTGATTAGTAATATGCATTGCTAAGAACTTAATTTGAACAACTTTAAAGACGATTTTCTCAATATTTTGATTTTTTTGCACCCTCAGATTCCAGATTTTCAAATAGTTGTATCTCAGCCAAATATTGTGCTATCGTAACAAACCATACATCAATGGAAAGATTATTTATTCAGCTTTCAGGTGATGCAGAAAGGTTTCACAAGGTCATTTTTGATCATGAACAGTACATGTGTGACCTTTTAAAGACCATTTAGCCTTTTTGAATCATGTCCATTATTTTTTATTTTTTTTTAGCAGCTACCACAAAAGCCACCAAGTTTTGTACAATTCTGATAAAAGTAAAAAAAAAAAAAAGAAAAAATATAATAATAATAATTTTTTAATCTAAAATGACTGGAGTACTTTAGCTGGTGCAATATTTTAGGGTATCTGTACTTTGATTAGTCTATTTCATTCAGTGAGCAGATGGTGATTTATGCTGCCGAGTTCCAAAAAGGAACAAAAATGCACAACAAAAGTACCATATAAAGTAGTCCATAAGACTATAATCCAAGTCTTCACATCACAATTTAAGTCATAATTCTATGATAATCTTCCCCTTTTATTGGCCTCTCAAATCCCATTTGTGTTTTCAAAAATTATTGTCCGACTGCCATGTGGCACATTTAAAAACATGAACACACAGTGAACAACGGTATACATTTTGGTCTATTATATGACTCGTGTAACAGAGAACAAGTTATACTTTGCAGTATAAATCATAATGCATTTTCCCTGGATAGATAACAGCGGCTGGAACATTGTGCCTTTTGCATTTTACACTCTCAGAAATAAAGGTACAAAAGCTGTCGCTGGGGTGGTACCTTCTCAAAAGCTACCTAAAGGGTCTGTATTGGTACCTTAAAGGTACATTTTAGTAGCTAAAAAGTGCACCTTTTGAAAAAGCACCACCCCAGTGACAGCTTTTGTACCTTTATTTCTGAGAGCGTCCAGAAGAAACAAACAATACAGGGTTGAAATGACACGAGGATGACTTGACCATAACAGAGTTTGGGGGGAACATTTCTTTTACAACTAATGTTGACCATTCCCTGTACTTGAAGCATTACGTTTGGTCATGGTTAAGCCATAAAAAGATGAACTCAGACAACACTCACGAAGCAGGGGTGAACGCTCTGGACAGCTCTTTCTGACAGACTGCTGCTCCTCTAAGCTCTGTATCATCTCTGATTCCAGCTCCAGCTGAGCAAAGCCCTCGACACTCCTGTCGTCAAGAGGATTCAATCCCTCCTGGACAGGCTTAACTGTGTCATCATTTGAGAATGTTGCAATCCATGCTACAACGCACAGACACAACAGCAGAAGAAACAGACCCTTCCCCTTCCCCTTCCTCATGATCTTGGATATGGATGGAAAGAGGCCCATGACTGAAGTTTAGTTTGAGGTGAAATCCAGAGAACAGCAAGCAAGACACATCTGAGCATCTGCTCGAAGATAAACAGTCACTCCTAAAGCTGACAAGAGCTCCTCCAAAAGTCTCTTTCATTAGTTTTTTCGCTCATTTTTTCATCTGAAGAGGAACAGTTCTTCAGTCGAAGTAACGCGTGAGAAGCCTTTTATGAAAAAGCTGAAACACAAAAAAGAACATTTGTATGAGGTTCTAACTTTTTTCTTAACCACGTATTAATTGAGAGAGTACATGGATTGTTGGTATTTTGAAGCGAACAGCAAAAATGCTAAATGTGACCCTGGAGCACAAAAGAAGTCGCTGGGGTATATTTCTAGCAATAGCCAAAAAGACATTGTATGGGTCAAAATGATCGATTTTGACCCATACAATGATCGATTTTTCTTTTATGCCAAAAATCACAAAAAAAGATATTAAGTAAAGATCATGTTCCATGAAGATATTTTGTAAATTTCCTACCGTAAATATATCAAAAATATATTATCATTAGTAATATGCATTGCAAAGGACTTCATTTGGACAACTTTAAAGGCGATTTTTTTTTAATATTTTGATTTTCAATTATTTTTTTCACCCTCAGATTCCAGATTTTCAAATAATCGTATCTCGGCCAAATATTATTATATCTAGAGCCCGACCGATATATCGTTTTGCCGATATTATCGGCCGATATGATCCTGTCGCCAATATATCGGTATGGGCGAATATGCCGTCGATATGAACATTTTTTTTACATAACATATAACACAGATAAAATGCTTGAAATGGTGTAATTACTTAGTTTGTCCAGCAGAGCGCGCTCCATTGTTTGCTAAGTTGTCCAAATGAAGTTCTTAGTAATGCATATTACTAACCAAAAATTACATTTTGATATATTTACAGTAGGAAATGTACAAAACATCTTCATGGAACATGATCTTTAGTTAATATCCTAATGATTTTGGCATAAAAGAAAAATCGATAATTTTGACCCATAGTGTATTGTTGGCTATTGCTACAAATATACCCCAGCGACTTAAGACTGGCTTTGTTGTCCAGGGTCATATGTATATGTGTGTGTGTTTATAATTTGTTTTTCTTTTATTAGTCATATATATTCATATTTTAATTGCTTTTTCTGTTTTGTTTTGTTTTTTCTTTTATTAGTCGCTTAGCATTTATAGCACTTAGCAAGTGATTGCCTCAAAACAACCTGCCTGAAAAACTTCACCACCCCGAGCAAACACAGCAGATTTCAAAGCGAATACTTCCTGTGCCTGATCCCGGAACAGTATCTAAACCTTCAAACTGTCGCCACAGCTTCAGAACAAGGCTGAGCCATCTCCCAAAACCACCCGAGGAGCCGATTATGCAAATGCAAGTCTAGCTAATTAATTGGCAGTCAAAGAGGAGTGCTCGTCTCCCAAACCCTGCACCACAGAGATCACTATCTTGACAGCGGATGGGGGATCGTGCCCAGAGGCAACAACAAAATAACAGAGATTTACAGTGGCTGATGATAATCAAGAACCATAATTGCTTTTTCAATCACAATGATAATGACACAATCTTGATGTAGAGCATTGTAATTGTGCTATTAATATGTATACTCTCTCAGCACTGCAACCATCTGTTGTGTAGAGAGAGAGAGAGAGAGAGAGGTGCTCAAAGGTTCTTCAGCACTTTAAGAGGATGCGTTATGCCGCTTACAGCCGTCGGAACGAGGTCAAATGTGTATATAATGAGGGCGTTAAATGGCTGGTTGGCTGGTTAAGAGCAATTTACTCTCAGAGGGGAAACAGTGAAAAGTAATATGCCATGTCAGCACTGGTAATTAAAGATTACAGTGTATTTAAGTGAGCTTTGGAGTCATCATAGATGGTCCCTTGTTCTGACAAATGACAACAGGTATGTTTTTTGGCTTTTAAAAATTAAAAAAAAGATTTCAATAACAAAGCCACTTATATCATGCTAAACAAATTCAGCATTTACCCTCTTTAGGTAAACAAATAAACACTCAAATATTGTTATTTTGTGAAATAATACACTGTTGTATCATTTTGTTATGAAATCAATGCAGGCTAAATCAGTTCTTTCTCCTGGGAGAAAACTATGCTAAATGTAAATAATTTAGTGCAAACAAACCATATAATCAAAGCAGCAAAACAAACAGGCTTATAAATGTTTAAAAAGTGAGGAGAAAACACTGTCGATATCTTTTGTTGTTGAATTCTAAAGCTCTGCATCCGTTCTAAACTACAGTATTATAGCGCAAATTCATCTGACACTTGATTTAATGTATACAAGCTAAGTACACGCCAAGAAGAATAGGTTGTGTGGGATTCTTGTAAAACCATCATGAAAATATGACCTAGACCGTATTAAATTCATGACCATAATATGTTTTAAAGTAGAATATGTATAAAGTGAAATATAGGCTACAAAGGTTAATATTATTTGAATTATTTTCATGAATTAGCATTATTTTTATATAAATATTTACCTTAACCATATTTTAGAATTTAAATAAAATTTGAAATTATAATCTAATATTTAAAAATAAAATATATAAAACATTTTATATACTTCAACTACATACGTAAATTTGTGTATATAAAGCCCCGGTTTCACAGACAAGGTTTAAGCCTAGTCTCATACTAAAATGTAAGTCTGAGCTGTTTCAACTAAAAGAAACCTGCACTGACTGATCTTAAATTATATCAGTGCCTTTGTTTTGTCTCAAGATGCAGTAATGTTTTTCTAAGGCACGTTTTATAAAAATGACTATGTCCTAATTGAACTATGGCCTAATCCTAGCTTAGTCAAAACCCTGTCTGTGAAACCAGGCAAAAGTAACAACATTAATTAATAGAAACAATTGCACAAACAAAAAAAGTCCTTAAATAATAATAAAAAAAAAATATATATATATTAGAGCCCTACCAATATATCGTTTTTCCGATTTTATCGGCCAATATTCCTGTCGCAGATATATCGGTATCGGCGAATATGCCGCCGATATGACATTTTTTTTACAGAACTTAAAACGCAGATAAAATGCTTGTAAATGGAGTAATTACATAGTTTGTCCATTGTTTGCTACTGGGGCCCTGAATGAAACGCTTTAAAGCTTAAGTGTATGGAATCCCATTTAAATTTTGAACAGCCATATCTCCGTAACGGCGAGGCAGATCCGCATAAAATTTGGGGGATCCCTTTCAGCTCGAGGAACCCTCTCGAACGCGAATCAAGTGTACGTCTAGAGGCCCGCTTTCCAATGAGACCACCCCCGTGTCGATAGCTTATATTGTATTTATTTACAGAAGTATATTATGTCACGTATTATGTTTCGTCTGTGTGTGACGACAATAGCGCAAATCCGTGAATGAATGTTCCGAAGTGAAATAAACTTCAACGGAAATAAATTGAATGGAATTGAATTAAATTAAAGTTGAATAAACTTCAACTTTACTGTTCAGTGCACTGATGTCAGACTCATTTTGGATAATAAAGTTTATTGTTAAATTGTTAAATGCCCTGCCTCCATTAAGTAGCCTATCTCTGTCACGTCATTATAAGTGTTTGATCACCACATTTGAGTGATCATTGCAAAAAATGTGTTTGTGTATATACAGTGGTGTGAAAAAGTGTTGGCCCCCTTCCTGATTTCTTATTTTTTTGCATGTTTGTCACACTTTAATGCAAATCCGCACCAAATTCGGGTGAATTCCTTCAACTCGAGGAACCCTCTCGAACGCGAATCAAGTGTACGTCTAGAGGCCCGCTTTCCAATGAGACCACCCCCGTGTCGATAGCTTATATTGTATTTATTTACAGAAGTATATTATGTCACGTATTATGTTTCGTCTGTGTGTGACGACAATAGCGCAAATCCGTGAATGAATGTTCCGAAGTGAAATAAACTTCAACGGAAATAAATTGAATGGAATTGAATTAAATTAAAGTTGAATAAACTTCAACTTTACTGTTCAGTGCACTGATGTCAGACTCATTTTGGATAATAAAGTTTATTGTTAAATTGTTAAATGCCCTGCCTCCATTAAGTAGCCTATCTCTGTCACGTCATTATAAGTGTTTGATCACCACATTTGAGTGATCATTGCAAAAAATGTGTTTGTGTATATATATTCTGTTTGACGAATGGGAATGTGTCCAAACTTTTGACTGGTACTGTACTATAATATACACAAAGAATATCGGCCGATATATCGATACCGGCCTTTTTTTACTCCCTAATATCGGTATCGGCCCAAAAAACCCATATCGGTCGGGCTCTAATTATATCCTAACAAACCATACATCAATGGAAAGCAAAGCTTATTTATTCAGCTTTCAGGTGATGTATAACTCTCAATTAAAAAAGAAAATCGACCCTTATGACTGGTCTAAGGGTCACAAATAATTGTTAAAAACCACAGGAACTGACCAAATTTAATCATAGCACAATTAATAAAATGTATAATTGCGATTACAATTACCGATCGTTCAAAGCGGCAATTAATCGTCAATTAATTAATTCTGCATGCTTAAGATGTGTTTTTTTTCTTTCTACAGCTTATCTTAAGTGTTTTTCCATTGTTTTAATTTTAGTATAACATTATAATACCATGCATATTTTTACTCTTTTATTTAAAGAAGAAACCAATCCAATGTATAGTTGACATCTGAGGTTTAATGCTACAGAAAAGCAATACAAGCTTTTCAGTTAGAGTGTTTTCAGCTTGTTTATTTTTATATAAAAATATGGCATGCCGTTGCTTCAGACAATGGTATAAACATCCTGCAATGTAAATTGTGATAATCGCAATTACAATTTCAATTTCAAGGGAATAATCGACATTTATGATTTTTGTCATAATCAGCCCTGCATAACATATGGAATAGTCATAGCAAAGCAAATGCACAGTCATAGCAAAAACTACTATGCAATAGCACAAATGGAAGTATAAATACCAAAGTGAGAAAAAAGTAAAAAAAAAAAAAGATATATATATATATATTTTTTTTTTACCTTCTTCCAAACACACTTTGTCTGTATTACAGCTCTTCGCGAGGCGCACCAGGAACGCTTCGTAAACACAATACACATATTTTATCATTACAATCATAACATATGTGCTTACAGGCCAGTGTAACCTGTTAGTCACATTCCTCCTCACTCAGCCTGTCACCTCTACGCCCTCCTCTCGTGTTTCATGTTGACACTTCACTGCTTTGAGTCTGTTGTGTGCATTTCATCATTTGTTCTCTTTGTAACAGGACCTTCGCCTGTCCTTGCCACGTCAAAGAACGTATAACGTTTTTGTTTTCAGCCAGTGGTTGTGAATGTGCTGCTGAAGGTCCTGTACTCTACATATCTGTAATCAGTCACTGTTCGTTTGCTTTGTTTTACTATAGTCGAAATAAATAACATTGTATATCATCCCTGGGTCTGTGGTGTAAGAAAATAAATGCTATAATGTCTCCAGGGACCCTTGTGTAGAGGTCATTATATTTGAGTGATTCCTCTGAGACCCTTCATGCCACAGTTTTAGTCTGGATGTCCTGTTCAGAGCACTTTTTTTAGATGGTTTGATCATAAACACTTCCTCTCTTTGGTCTGTAAATATGACTGATATTGACAGAACGATCAGATTTAGCACTCTTAGGGAAACGTGATAATGTTTTGTAATTATCATTTAAATCTGGCTGATTTTCAAATTGTTTGGGAATATGACTTTCTGTTACGAAACAGGGCATAATTTTCATACTGGTCTTCTGTAGAGGACACCAGGACAAACGGCTGTTAATCAGGCATTTTGGGGAAACACAACAATAAATTATAGATCAATATTCCTATGAAATATGAGATATTCTTATGAAAATGTTGCCACGTTATTACTCCAATTATTGCACTTCTTTTTTCATTATGGTTTGCCCCAAGAACACACAAATTAGATGCAGTGTATAGATACATTGAATAAAATGGGAATATCAATTTATGGACATTTTACACACATATTCCATGAAATAAAATAGTATATCAGGTCATTCTGTTATATCTTTCATAACACAGTTGAGAATCATCTTTGTACAAAGTTTGGGTAAAAAAACCTGAAAGCTAAAAACTGATTGGTGAATGAAAAAAATAATAATCATTGCCTATACATGCCTTTTCATGTCTATTTATTTATTTATTTTTGAATAACTCTTTATAAAAAAAACAAACAAACAAACAAAAAAAAGGACAGAATAAAATATCTATTTTCTAAATGTTTTTTCCCCACTTGTCTCTTATGCTCCGACCAATGCAATGACATACAAAAAATTCACTAAACCTTTTTTTCTGCTTCTCAGGAGATTAATGAAAAACGTAATTTGATATCGGTTCATCATGCCTTAAAATTAGCATTAAGTCAAGTGCTTCCTCGCGACGTCTTGAGATCATGTTTAAAAAATGAATTATTTCGTCATGAAACGTCTATAATCGTTTCAAATTAACAGAACTTTCGGAAGAGTGGTTTGCGCCAAACAATGCCTATTTCTGATGTCTTAAGCACAGCTTTAAGCACGTTTAGAGCGAAGACTACACTGTATTTTATTTGAATTAGCAATGTCTCAGCTTGTTACAGTTTGACAGCGTGAATGATACAAAACAGCAAAAACTAGCGATTGAACTCACCGCCCTCGCGCTGGCTTGCTGTGCGAAGCTGCGCACTTCTTAGCTGGTATTTCTCGAGGACAACACAGGCATACTGGGGAAGAATAAAGTAGAAAGTAAACAGAGGTTAAATCGATTTACGGCTGGGAAAGCAGACGCACTCTCAGCTCAATCCACCAGCGCACTGAACCCCAGCATTTCCGCAAATACAGACCACAGACACTCGGTCATCTCTCAGCACCTGCCGGCGGATGCAGCAACTACACCTGACTGTCTGCTGCACGCTTTATTTGAACACTCAGAGCAACAAAATTACAACACAATCATTACAAATGACATCAATAGCGAGAAAGAAGGAAAACATGAACAACCAATAGGCTACCATAGCTCAAAACAGAAACATAGCCTAATAATAGAAGAGGGCAGTATACAGAATGATAAAAATTAAACATTAAATGCAGAAGAAAATTTGTAGGCCGTGCAAATTGTACAGGTTCTAAGCGCTTTCTTGTAAAAATACTACAAAAATAGGTTTACAATATGAAAATTTACATTTGTGAATTTACAGAAGAAGATAATTAGGTTTCTTGCAAAACAGGCATTGCATGGGATCCGCTTCAAAAAATCCCAAAATGACAGATTTGGGATCCATTGAAAAATCTAGTAGGCTACTCGAGATAAACAAACTAAGATCTTTCCAGAGCTGAGAAGTATAACTGCATCACCAAAACAAACGAAGAAGGGTCTCAGTGTCATTCTGACAAAAGGAGCGTTCTCTGATCCAAATGTTTTCGTCAGAAAATTTGTGGAGTAATTTAAAAGATATTTCTTTTACTGCATGGTCCATTTTTTTTTTCCAATTTAAACGATCAAAAAGGCTGTTCTGTGAAACTGCATGAGGGGCAGAGACAATGTTCTCAAGGAATAGGGCTCCTATTTTATAGTTTCCTTCTTTTTTTAACAGTGAAACATCTCTCACCAATAGACCCACACTGTCTTTGCACTTGACCGCTTGCCTAATACTTACATCTTTCGTGTATTTGGCCCAAGTGTTGAAGTGGGCATGAAGACCACAAGTGTGTGCAGAACTTTCCATTAGCCTACACGATGGGACACACTTCTAAAAAAAAGTGTTAACAGAGCTTTACCTTCATTTTCACTAAAACTCATATCGACACATGCATTGAATGGTTTGTGAGTTGTATATAAAACATACATCTGTTTTTTGCACACTTTCTCTGTTGCGACGTAGTAATTTTCCATTCCTTGCGCTTCAGTATAATGCTTGTTGAACTTGTGCTGATCAGATAAAATCAGACTGAGTAACAACAAAGTTATTTGCTCATTTTACCACCACTTTGTTTCCTGCTTCCTTTGCCTCTTCAGCCGAAAGAAGAATGTACTTTCTGTTATTTGGATAGCAAGACCAAAATTGTGGCACAGGCAAGATGGTCCAGTAAAACTCAATCATCTCTCTATATGTAACAATTTAGTAACAAATGAACTATTGCGTTATATCATATATTATATAAATGGTTTGGTTTTGATATGAAAATGGAACCTATTATCTCAGTGTGGTTACAATTGTGAATTGTTGTCCAATCAGAAACATCCATTATGATGTCATGGTTTACACCTGTTAGTAATTATTAATTATATTTATGTTTATTCTCCTCTGGGACCTAAATGCACCTTGAAAAAGGCAGATATGTACTCTTTAAAAAACAACAAAAATATTGACAAAGTAAGTACGTACGTAAAAAGTCAGTGTTGAAAAACCGTTTCTACCCAAATTCACAACGGTAAGCTTGTAATGATTATTTATAGTTTAGGTGTTTCATCAGACTTAGTGAGAACTGTCCGTTTAACGTCATTCCGTCTTTGCACGACTTACGTTACTTCCAGTGAGAAGAAGGTCCAGCTATTACAACAGGGCTGTGCTATTCTGACTGCTATAATGCAGCAATGTGTAGAGCTTGTAAGCATGCAAGATTGTTGAGCAAGAAAAAGGTCGTGTTACGTCAGATACAAGGTGTGTTATAGGCTCCGTCACTTTCCTTTTTTGCTTGCAAGCTCTTCTCTGAAATATTAGAACTATTACCAAGGCATTAGAAATCACAGTAGACATAAATCAGGTGTTTTTGTTTTATTTATCCACTTCTGTGTTACATATAAGGCATTCAGCAGATGCCTAAAACAGAGTGACATAAAAAGTGTCTATGAAAGAATGCTGTGGTACACAATCGGATTGTATGCAAATGACTCTTTTGTGTCGGTGAGTTATGGTGGGTCTAAGTTTTGTTGACAGAGATCAGTCCGGGCCTGAAGACTGGGAGGTTTCTTTGGAGAAAATGACGGATACAGCTATTGTGATACCACCACTGAGTACAAAAACGACCATATCCTTAAACCAGAATCACAGTGCAAACCAGTTTGTGTGCACTCATTTGACCGAGTTCTTTCTAGCTTCCTCAAAGCTTATGGAGAGACTGACTGTTCCGCTTCCAAAGCTCACCCTTGGTTTCTGACTATGTCTCCGCGTAGAGGGGAACTCAATTTCATTGCCGTTGGTCTTCAGGCTGATTGACGAAGAGGGCGAGGAGGCAGAGGACCCACCCACACTGCTTGACCTCTTTCTGGAGGCAGAACTGTGTCGCAGTGTCGCTTTCGCTGCTGCTTTGAAAGCATGAGCTGCTGTGCTACAACGAACCTCCTCAATCGTGTTCCTGGATGGTTTCAGGAGGATGATGTAGACCTTGTTGAAAAAGATACATGCTAGCAGACTGAAGCTGGAAGCCAGAATGGCAATGACCTCGACCGCCGAGACAAATTTGCCATACGTGCTGAAGTATGCGGGGATGAAGGAGATCCAAACAATGAAAAAAATGAGCATGCTAAATGTGATGAACTTGGCCTCCGTGAAGTTTTCGGGAAGTTTCCGAGACTTGAATGCAAAGAAGAAACAAACGGCTGCCAGCAGGCATGTATAACCGATCAGGAATCCCAACGCCATCATGGAGCCCTCGTTGCAGGTGATAAAGATAATCTCATCGATGTCATAGTTCTTGTAACTCCCTGGTGGAGCATTGTACAACCAAACGACGCAGATCATCACCTGCACAAACGTGAACAGGAACACCAGTAAGAACTGCAGGTTCAATCCCCACCATTTACGGTGGAGGCTGGTGGGGATTTTGGCTTCGAACACCAGTAGGACACGATTGGTTTTAACTAGAATGCAAGAGATGCACAACACAAAGCTGATTCCAAAAGCTGGTTGCCGTACACGGCACGTCCAGTCCTGTGGCTCGCCTATGAATATAAGAGAGCTGGAGAAACAACAGATGAGTGAGAAAAGCAGAAGAAACGACAGCTCTCGGTTCGACGCCTTCACAATCGGAGTATCACGGAATTGCACAAAAACACCCAACACGAAAGCTGTTAACAGAACCCCGAGAACTGCAAGTAAGGCCAAAGCGATCCCAAATGGTTCGGTCCAGGACAGAAACTCGATCTCCTTCAGAAAGCAGGACGTGTGATTGCCGTTAGACCATGAGTTGTTTGGGCATTTAGAGCAAACACTGGCATCTGTGGAGAAAAGAAAAGAAACAGGAAAAAAATATTACAAAAGCACTCAATTGTACAATAAGTACTCAAATCTTAACATTAGTCAATGCTTCTGTTTACGTCCCTTAGATGTTGGATAAATAGACTAGGGGTAAACGGGAGTATAACATTAAGGAAATTGTGTGTGTGTGTGTGTGTGTGTGTAGGAATGGCAGCAAAAGAGAAGGATATAGACAGTACTCTTGAATCTATTTGAAAGGTTTTTCAATGAGGAAGATTAATTCAAAGATTTAAAAATGAGGAATCTAGTCTTTACATTAATTAACTCTTTCCACGCCAGTGTTAGACAAAAATCATAAATGTCGATTATTCCCTTGAAATTGTAATTGCGATTATTACACATCATATAATCACAATTTATATTGAATGATGTTTATACCATTGTTTGAAGCAACCGCATGCCATAATTTTATATAAAAATAAACAAGCTGAAAACACACTAACTGGAAAACTTGTATTGCTTTTCTATAGCATTAAGCCTCAAATCTGAACTATACACTGGATTGGTTTCTTCTTTAAATAAAAAAAGTAAAAATATGCATGGTATTATAATGTTATACTAAAATTAAAAGAATGTAAAAACTCTTAAGATAACCTGTAGAAAGAAAAAAACGCATCTTAAACACGCAGAATAACATAAGTGGACTTTGAACGATTAATTGTGGCATTCGTAATTGTAATAGTGATTAGAAATTTGAGTAATTGTGCTGCCCTAGTAACTGCCAGCACTTTTATATTTTGTTGTATGAATATCTTAACATGCAATATGTCAAAAGAACACAGCCTCTGCTTTAAAAAAAAAAGAAAAAACAGTTTCATGCATTTTTATGTTTCATTAAAAAAAGCAACATTTTAAACAAAAAGCTCAGAATTTTTTTTATTTTTTTTTTACATTTTTTCCATCAACACCCTTGCACGGTCCTATACCATTTTTTGGATCATCATTTCATTCGTTATGTAATTTTTTTTTAATATTTTGATTTATATGCTGTTAAATGCTTGATGATCGCGTTATTTTACATATGCATCTGCTTATATATACAGTGGGTACGGAAAGTATTCAGACCCCCTTAAATTTTTCACTCTTTGTTATATTGCAGCCATTTGCTAAAATCATTTAAGTTAATTTTTTTTCCTCATTAATGTACACACAGCACCCCATATTGACAGAAAAACACAGAATTGTTGACATTTTTGCAGATTTATTAAAAAAGAAAAACTGAAATATCACATGGTCCTAAGTATTCAGACCCTTTGCTGTGACACTCATATATTTAACTCAGGTGCTGTCCATTTCTTCTGATCATCCTTGAGATGGTTCTACACCTTCATTTGAGTCCAGCTGTGTTTGATTATACTGATTGGACTTGATTAGGAAAGCCACACACCTGTCTATATAAGACCTTACAGCTCACAGTGCATGTCAGAGCAAATGAGAATCATGAGGTCAAAGGAACTGCCTGAAGAGCTCAGAGACAGAATTGTGGCAAGGCACAGATCTGGCCAAGGTTACAAAAAAAATTCTGCTGCACTTAAGGTTCCTAAGAAAACGCTCAGTGCAGCAAAATACAGAGATAGCCTTAATGAAAACCCAGTCTAGAGCATTCAGAACCTCAGAC